TGATGGTAATTTAATTGTAGGATTAACAAGCTTAAAAGCAGCTACAATATCTTCATCCTGTATCCATTTAAATGGTAATCCGCTTGCTACTGTTCCATGAATTAAATATCGCTCAAATTGTTGTTGAATATTATCAGATAACGGCTAATATAAGTATTGGCTAACATTTATTTGCTTTTTTCTTTTAACTAGTTTACTATCATTTTGAGAAGCTGTTAAATTATTTTTATTATAAGTTAGTACTATTGCTATATATTATAAAATTTATTAAAAATAAAATTTACCTGTTTGTTTAATTTTTTTTATAGAATCTTCTTCACTAGATTCAGAGTTAGAAGAATTTTTTCTAATTCTTCGGAAGAATATTTTTGTGCAAAATATGGACAAGATTTTAAATGATTATAACATAAATTTGCCTTGTTGGTTATTTTTTTAGCTTTACTACCCATAGCTTCTAAACAGGCAAAACATATAGTAGCTTTATTACTTTTATTTGCAAGTTCATCAAGTATTTTAAAATAAATAGACCACTTATGATGACTACAACCCATTATTTTTGCTATTAATTATTATAGATAAAAATAGATAGCTTGGTTAAAAACATTTATGTAACTAATAAAGACAATAAAAAAAAATAATTCTAATATTTTGAACAAGTTGCAAAAAATAAGAGTATGGTAAAAAAAACTTATGATAAATATATATAAATAAACTCTGAATTTTAAATCTTTTTATTGTGCAATTTTATATATATAAAAATTTTTATTATCTGTTATCTAATCTATTGTATATTACATTGCGAAGAATAACAAAATTTATAAAAGACTTGTCTTAAAACGTATTTTATACAAATTTTGTTTCTTTGTATAAATTCAAAGTATTTATTAAATTTATACTAGATTTTTATGTATTTAGCACAGCCTCTTATAAAGTTTTACTATTTTAGCAATATTGTTTTCTTTTTATATAGTTAATTATAAATTTGAATTAGTTGCTTTTTTTAGGTTAGTAATTCCAAATTCTAGTAACAAGATTATATAATATATAGGCTGCTGTTATAGAAATAAGCAGTACTTATTATACAGAAACTTATAATTAATTAAGTAGATCGAAAAGCATTGCACGTACATAATATTTAATCAGTTGAATGCAATTGGTGTACAGACTGAGATGGGACATGCTCCTGAAAATAGCAACTATTATTATGCTGAGTATCACCATCATTACAGCATTAGCTGAAGTTAAGATGTGTAGCAACAATTAGTAGTTTCCCACATTGTATAAAGCAAACTGACTTTTGTTGTGAAGCTTTTGAAGATATCACAAACGGTAAGATTCTGCATGGTGGAAAGGTTTGGATGCAAATCTTGTTTCGTATTTGTGTGATACAATCATTGTCCTTTTCCGTATCAGCTATTTATATTAGATCTATCAGTAATAGTAAGACCAATGTTATTATATTCGCACACTATTCATAGAGTTTTCAAAACAGACAACTAATTAAAACTAAATTCATATACTCTTATATGCCTATCAGCTCATTGTTTTCCTGATTTAGTCAAAACTGAAATGTGCATTGATTAACAAAAGCGAAGGAATTTAATAAATGCCAATTTGGGTTTAGTTTTAGGCGATGCTCCATTAAAGAACAATAGTAAGACTGCTTTGATATTCAATGGTGAGAACTAATGTCATAGTCATAAAATGACTATGAATTACTCATCGTTAGTCATAGATTCCCCGTCATATTAGCTAGAGATTCTAATTGTTGTAGCAAAGCCCAAGGTTATTTGTAATGTATAAATAACTATTGACTTCATGTATCTGAAAGTAATAAAGTTTTATAATAAATAAAGACCATCTGATGATAGCCTCAAGGAATTTAGTGGCAATAAGATTCTTGGTTCTTAGACCAAATCTTCCATGCCCTCTTTTGAGTAGCCTTGTCTTTTTGGTTGTGTTTTGGCTATGAATTATAGTCACCCCAGATTCGCCCCTTTACACTGCACAATTAAGGATATAATTTTACTAGTTAAAACTAGCATTTTGGCTTTGGCCAATTTAAACAGGCTGACAAGCTACGGCATATAAGAAAGTAGAGAATTTAGATAAGTTTAATTTTAATCAGTTACCTGTTTTGGATCTCTATAAATTACATGTATATGTATTAACAATAATCTTTTTGAAATATTAAATATAATTAGCCTATCATATATACATCTTAAATTTAGCTAATTATATGTAGTTTTATTTTTAGAAGCATGTCCTGTTTTAATGTCTGACGCTAATAGCTAAATGCATCCAATCAATAATGTATTCCCTATAAGAAAAATGTACTGTAATTGTATGGACTGGCTCAGAATAGCACGGGTTTCGGTAGCACAGATCAAACCCGGATTTTGTACGTTAGAGGCTTGAAGTGGCACGGATTATGTTAGACCATATACCAGTGCCAATTGGATCGTTAATGACTCGGGCTTTGCAATACTTTATTAGTCCAATTGGTACGGGTTTTGATACGAACGTACGTTGAGAAAGTGGGGATCAATATTCAAATCTAAAAGTTAGCTAAAATACCAAACTAAAGACTAAACAATCCAATCTCTGGCTTCAAGACGCCTAAAACCTTGAGTTGGAAGGCAGAAAGAGGGCGTGGAAAGACTTGGTCCAAGATTCAAGGTCCTTTGGGTCTTGGATTAATGTTGCTGGCCTTAGATAAGTCTTGCCGGCTTAGGTCGGCTTAGTTGCTTAATTGTATCAGGATTATTCAACACTAACTCTTCTATTCTTTTAGTCGAAAAT